TAAGGTTTCTAATGATGTTTCCAATACTCTTAAAAATCTTAAATGTGTGTATTTACATCTAACATAAAAAGCTTACATCTAAATAAGAATGAAAAAATAAGAATTTCAACAAAAATTACTTTGTAGTCATAGTTGATTACCTTCAAGATGAAGCCAATTATCTTCCAAGAATAGGAGCTGTTGGTATTGGTGGCTTATCAGGATTAACATTGGGACTCAGAGGAGGCTTGTTAAAACGACTATTTTACACAAGTACAGGTGCTGGTATTGTTGGATGTATTTGTTTCCCTAGGGAAGCAAAAGAAGCACTCAATACAGTGGAACACTATGGAAATATTAGTTACAATTTCATTTATGGTGGTGCGTATATTTATTATTGTTTTAAAGGATTATATTAAAATATTTTGAAACATTTAAATAGAATGTAAACAATTTGTTAAATTTCCATACTAATAACATGAATGGCAAGCAATTTGAACTTTACTACAAATAAGATAATATTCATTCTCAATAATATATACTAAAGTAATTTTTCCTTTGCATATTACTAATTTAGAATACCCTTTAAATAAAGTGAACCTCTAATTTAGGTTGAAAAATTGTTAATAAAACTGATATATCTGTAATGAAATATCAAAACCAATTAAAGCAAAGTATATTACTAATATACTCTCATTCATATTGTTGTACTTATAATACAAAGTGTAAATTGTATATTGTTAAAATTTCAAATTTCATCTTTTATTAAAAATTTCAGTGAAACCAGGAGATAGTAAAACGGAAATTTTAAAAAATGACTTTCCATTACTGAAAAGTATGCTTGAATCAAAATACTTTCGTATGTTAAGTCAACCTTTTGAACAGAAAACATCCAATGCAACTGAAAAAATGGAGGTAGGATGCAACAATAAAATTACCTTTTTGCATCATTCCTCCTGCACCTTGTAATTGTGTCAATATAGTTTGCCATTTTACTGTATAATGTGTTTTACAGAAACATATTTAAATTTACATATATATATAACATTCTTCAGAATTGTTTAATATCAAAACTTGAGAAAGGATGTAATTTGTTTTAAATATTTTTCATTTTGGGGTCAGTTTTTTTACAAAAATTGCACTTATAGTTCTTGGAAAATTTCATGAAGATAATTCATCAGAAGCCTGTAATGTTTCCTTCCATCATAATAATGAAGATTCAAACCTTCTAGAACCAGTAACACTGAAAGAAACTTCTCCAATAGAAGTACAAAATTCAAAGAATTCGAAAACATTATTTAAGTAACTGTATGAATAGGTACCTTCATCATTTCTTCCTCTACCTGTTTTTACAAATATTGAATACTAATAATTTACATTTAATAATTACATAAAT